AGTACCCGCCGCTGCATGTGGAATACATGCGCAGCCATGTGGCTGCCTTGGAAGCGAACGGTATGGTATACCAAAACAACCGGGCTACGTGGGCCTCAGCCCCAAGGATCGTGCCGAAGAAGGAAGTCGGCGACTTGCGCATGACGATCGACAGCAGGCCGATCAACGCCTGCACGGAGCCGATGCCTTGGCCGATGCCAAACCTGGACAGCGCGATGGTCTGTCTGGTCGGAACGAACGTGTACTTCACGTTGGACTGGACCAAGGGGTACTGGCAGTTGCCGCTGCATGCGGACAGCCAGATGTACTTCTCGTTTATGACGCCCTTCGGAGTGTACACACCGACTCGCGTGCTCATGGGACAGACGGACGCTGTCGCGTACTGCCAGTCGGTTGTCCACCAAATGTTTGGTGAGCTGCAGTTTCGAGGCCTGTTGGCCTGGCTCGATGACTTGCTGGGGTCCACCAAGACAACGGACGAGCTGCTCGACTTGTTGGACCAAGTCCTGTCCATCTGTGCCCAGTTCGGACTCAAACTGAGCCCGCAGAAGTGTCATTTCTTTCTGCGCGAGGCAGAATGGTGTGGCAAGGTGATTTCGGCCGATGGAATCACCCATTCCCCAAGCTGAATTCAAGGACTTGTGGACTTGTCGCCGCCGACGACCGCGGCCGACCTCCAGCAGTTTGTGTGTGCCACCAACTGGATGCGTGCGAGCATCCCCGGCTACAACCAGCTGGTGGATCCGTTGCGACGTCTGCTCGACGTGGCCACCAAGGCAGCCGGAAGCTGCAAGAAAACGGCGTTAGTGCGTGTCGCACTCCCTTCCGTGGGATGGTCATCCGACCATCTCAAGTGTTTCAACGATGTGAAACACGCGTTGGCGCATGTGGTGCCCCTGTCGCACCGCGAGAAGACATGACGGTGTGCGTCTTCATGGACGCCAGGGACCTGTTTTGGGGTGCGGTCGCCACACAAGTACCGCCAGCGGACCTCGACTTGCCTCTCGAAGTCCAGCGGCACCAGCCGCTTGCGTTCATCAGTGGGTCGTTTTCTGGCGCGAGTGCGCGTTGGCCCATCGTGGAGAAGGAGGCCTATGCCGTGGTCGAGTCGTGCAAGAGACTCGACTACCTGGTCGTACGCCCGGGTGGTTTCCGTCTGTTTACAGATCACCGCAACCTGATGTACATCTTCAACCCAAGTGGCTCGAACGCCAACATGGCCAAGTACCAGGCCGACAAGTTGCAGCGATGGTCGCTGGTGATGTCGACCTTCCCGTACACCATTGAGTGCGTCTCGGGTGACACGAATGTATGGGGCGACCTCCTGAGCCGATGGGGTTCGGTTCCGGCGGATCAACCAGTTGCGAATGTTCGCAAGTTGATCCACGTGGTGTCGCCCTTGCAACAAGTGGATTTCAAGTGGCCGACAGCCGCTACGATCAGCGGCATCCAACGTTCAACCATGGAAGGGGGAGGGACCCCCCCAAACGGCGTGGATTGGGACGACGACTCCCATTTTTACGTGGACCCAGACGGACGAATCTGGATCCCAGACGGTGCTGTCGACCTACAGCAGCGGATTTGTGTGATCGCTCACCAAGGAGCCAGCGGTCACCGTCGCATCGCAGCGACA